TGCAGGTTATAGAATTCTTATACTTAGAAAACCCTAAAGATTCCACCAAAAGACTCTTTTAGAGCTGATGAACAAATTACACAAAGCAGCAGGATACAAAAGTAACATACAAAAAACAGTAGATTTTTCTATTCACCAAAACTGAATTTGCTGACAATCAGGAAAGCAATCCCATTCATGATATCTTTAAAAAACACTTAGAAATCAAGGAAATCAAGAAAGTGAAAGACATTTACAATGAAAAACATAAAACAAATAAGAAAGAAACTCAAGAAAACACTAGAAGATGGAATGATCTCCCAAGTTCATGGACTGGGGAAATTAATATTGTTAAAATGCCCATACTATCAAAAGTAGTCTATAGATTCAATGCAATCTCTATTAAAATACCAATGATATTTTTCACAGAACTAGAAAAAATAATCCTAATATTCAAATGGAAGTACTAAAGACCCTGAACACTCAAAGCAATCCTGAGCAAAAAGAACAATGCTGAAGTCATATAATTCCTGGATTCAAAACATACTACAGAGCTATAGTAACAAAAGTCACATGGCACTGTCATTAAAACACACATAGACCAATGTAATAGAATAGAGGACCTAGAAAAATAAAAACACATGTATTTATAGCCAACTAATTCTCAACAAAGGTGCAAAAAAAATTATATTAGAGAAAATGCAGCTTCATCAACAAAGGTGTTGAAAGAACTGTAGAAAACTGAAACTAGACCCTTATTTCTCACCCTGTACAAAAATCAACTCAAAGTAGATCAAAGACTTTAATGTAAGATCTGAAACTTTAAAACTAATACTATAAGAAAACATAGGGAAACACTCCAAAATATTAGCACAGACAACTATTTCCTGAGTAGGAATTCAATAGCTCAGGAAACAAAATCAAGAATTGACAAATGGAATTAGATCAAATTTAAAAGCTTCTGCATACTTTGCAACAAAGGAAATGATCAAAAGCATAAAAAGACAACCTACAGGGGCTGGGGATGTGGCTCAAGGGATAACGTGCTCTCCTGGCATGCACTGGGTGCTGAGTTCGATCCTCAGCACCACATAAAAAATAAAATAAAGATGTTGTGTCCACCAAAAACTGAAAAATATTAAAGAATTCTCTCTCTTCTCTCTCTCTCTCTCTCTCTCTCTTTAAAAAAAAGGACCACTTACAGAGTGGGAGAAAATCTTTGCCAGTTATTCATCTGATGTAGGATTCATATGCAGAACATATAAGGAACTCAAAAAACTTAATAGTCCAACTTAATAAGTAGTCCAATCAAAAAAATGAACAAATGAGAGGGCTGGAGTTGTAGCTCAGTAATAGAGTGCTTATCCAGCACATATGAGGCACTGGGTTCAATCTTCAGCACATTAATTATATAAACAAATAAAATAAGGTTATTTAAAAAACAGACAGGGGCCAGGGGTTGTGGCTCAGTGGTAGAGCACTTGCCTAGCATGTGTGAGGCACTGGGTTCAATCCTCAGCACCAAATAAAAATAAAAATAAAAAAACACAAATAAAATAAAGGTCTTAAATAAATAAATAGGCAAATGATCTGAACAGATACTTCTCAAAAGAAGAATTATAGATGGCCAAAAATTTATTAAAAACTACTTACAATCATTAGCCATCAGAGAACTGCAAGTTAAAAACTACACTGAGATTCCATTTCAACTCAGTCAAAAAAAAAAAAAACCTGTTATAAAAAAATAATGTGAGAATGCAGGAAGGAATAAAGGAAATGTATACACTGTAAATTTGTATTATGGAAAATAGCATGGAGGTTCTTCAAAATTAGGACTAATATATGATCCAGCTGTACCGTGACTGGATATTTATTTGAAGGAAATGAAGTGAGTATACTAAAGAGACACCTGCATACCTATGTTTATTGCTGCACTATTCATAATAACCAAGTTACTGAATCAGCCTAGGTGTCTGTCAAGGGAGAGACACATAAAAAAATATGGTATATATACACAATGGAGTATTATTAAGCCATTAAGAATAATGAAATCTTATCATTTGCAGGAAAATGAATAGAACTCGAGAACATCATGTTAAGCAAAAGAAGCCAGATGCAAAAAGATGAGTATCCCATGTTTTCTCTTATATATGAAAACAAACAAAAAGATGACCTGAAAATAAAAGAGGGATGACTAGATGGGAAGGGAAAGGAAGTGAAGGGAAAGGGGAAAAGAGAGGAGAGGAGGGGAAGATAGGTGAGGCCAAGAGAGGGTGGAAGGGAAGATAGACATGATCAAAGCACAATATATACAAAGATGGAAATAGCGCAGTGAATCCCATTAATTTGTTCAATTAATATGCATTAATAGTTGTACTTTATTTTTTTCTATTCTTCTTTTCTTTTTTAATTGGTTTTATTTTTTTAATTCATGACAACGGAATGCATCACAATTCTTATTACACATATAGAACAATTTTTCATACCTCTGTTTGTATATAAAGTATGTTCACACCAATTCTTGTCTTCATACCTGTACTTTGGATAATGATGGCCATCACATTCCACCATCCTTCCTAATCCCCTGCCCCCTCCCTTTCCCTCCATCCCCTCTTCCCTACCTAGAATTCATCTATTCCTCCCATGCTCCCCCTCCCTACCCCACTATGAGTCAGCCTCCTTATATCAGAGAAAACATTCAGCATTTGTTTTGGAGGGATTGGCTAACTTCACTTAGCATTATCTTCTCCATTGCCATCCATTTACCTGCAAATGCTATGATTTTATTCTCTTTTATTGCTGGGTAAAATAGTTGGACTTTAAAAAAAAATACTTTGCTACACACAGCCACTAAGTAATCTAGGCAGATGGAGCCTCACTCTCTTTATTGTTCACTCCATCTGGGATATGTCACATTTTAAGTCATACAGTATTGTATCTTAATTCTTTGAACTAATTGTCACAAGTAATCACTTAGCCCACCAAAATATATGTGCCTAAATGAAAAGGAGAGCCAGATATAGGCGAGTAGTGCAAATCTCTACCAGAGAATTTATCAAGTCGGTGGTCATTTTTAAAAACTACTTTGAGGGGGCTGGGGTTGTGGCTCAGTGGTAGGGCGTTCACCTAGCACGTGCAAGACCTTGGGTTCAATCCTCAGAACCACATAAAAATAAATAAGTGAAATAAAGGTATTTAAAAGAAAGAAATTTCTTTCTAAAAAAAAAATCTACTTCGAGTGTATAGAAGCAGATACTATGTAAACTTCACCTGTATCTTTCATGCTAAAACTTTTCCAGATATATGATTGTTCTTTCCCTTTGGTTTTGCACAATCCTGAACTGAGAGCATTGGACTATTATGCTTCAATTGTAGTTAATAAATTTTAACATACTAAAATAAGACTGATGCCATATAAAACATTTACTGACATCTTAAATGGTTTTCCCAGATTAAATTCTAACCAGTTGTCCCTATACCACTTACTGAGTATTCTTTCTCATTGCTGATTTGAATTATCATCTTTGTATAATAAAGTTGCATGTTTTAGGCAACTGGTAAAGCATTACCTTGTTTTCTGAATTTTCTTTACTATTCATATGCATTTAGCCTTCAAGTGAAATTTAGAGTCATTTTACTATCTAATTTAAGATATCTGAAAAGATATATAAAGTGGTATCACCTCATCAATTTCATGCATGATTAATATAAAGCCTAAGAATGAGTCAGATGCTTCTCAATTTTGCCAACCAAATGTAGAATGATTGGCAAAACCAGTAGGTCTTGTTTTTTAATTACCTCATCTATAAAATGGGGAGAGTTAAGGCATCTATTTTAGGAGGCTGTCATGAACATGAGACATGTATGTGTAAAGATTTTAGTATAATGCCTCATATATACTAGATTTTACATTCATATTCTTAAAATATAAATAATGGTGAATTAAATCATAATACTGTAATATAAAAAATGGTTTAAATGGCAAATTTTATGTTATGTGTTTTATATCACAATTAAAAATGAAAACAAAAATGCAACTAGGGATGCAGTTCAGTGGTAGAGTACCTAGCATGCATGAGGTTCAATCCTTAGTACCATAAAAAGCCCCCTAGTTTCCAAGCCAGCTTACATTCTTTTTCTACTATGCCAGAGGAAAATGTAAAATTAATACACAATCATGGAGATCTACAATCATAATGCCAGAACTGATTACTACAATTGCTGTTTCTCAGTTTTTGTTTTTACATATGTGTGGTTCACCCACTGATCTGTTTACTAAGAACACATCTTGAAAAGCATAGCCTTGCTCTCACGTCCAAGAGAGGCGAACAAAGAATTTGTTAAGTACTAAAGCCATTAATACAAGCTTTAAGACTAGCAGAAATAATGACAGCTACTTCCTTTAAGTACTTAATAAATATCTCTGATGCTGCTCTAATTATTTTATATACATCTGAATAAATCCTTACAATCACTCTGCAAAGTAGATCATTTTATTCTCAATTTATAGATGAGGAGGTTAAGACTTAAAAATTAATATACCTAAGGTCACACAGCTAGTAAGACTCAGTAGACTAGTTGTGTGAGTCTCCATTTGGTTTAACTGAATATATCATATGGTGGGCATTTAAGGAATTATGTTTTGGTATGTTTCCATCATTTCTAAGTACCTAATACCATTCTTTTTTTTTAATTTGTTCTAATTAGTTACACATGCCCAATACCATTCTTGATGACATTTTTCTAGTGTTTCCAAAATGATTTATGCTGTTGTTCCAACTACTGGGGTTGAAACAGTTCAAGCCATTATCTCAGAGGCCTTCCTTTACAACTATATGTCATTCCATCAATGTCACATTGGGGCCACATTGAACAAAACAAAATTTAGATCAATATCATTGTGCCAATTAAAACAGAATGCTGTTAGAAGATTAAGCACAATAAGGGTTCATATTACTTAGTTCCACCAAAACAAAACTATTATACTCAATAAACACAGTGGATATTTAAAAAAATCTTACCTGAGACTTTTCATCTAAGTTTTCCAATTTTTTAATTTTTTGTTTTACTTGAGCTATATTCCCTGTTACATCATCCAGCTCAGCTTGCTGATTTAATAGAAGTTCAACTTCAGTGACAAGCTAAACATAGGAAATAAAAGAGATTTTTAAAAAACATACAAATAAATAATCATTCTGAATTTATTTAGATTTATTTATTGGCGGGGGTAACTAGGGATTGAACCCAGGGTGCTCTACCACTGAATAACATTCCACAAACCTTTTCTTATCTTCTGAGACAGTCTAACAAGTTTGCTCAGGCTGGCCTCAAACTTATGATCCTCTTGCCTCGGCCTCTTGAGTCACTGTGATTATGGGCCTGCACTACTGCACCCTTCTGGCATTCTGTCTTTATGATCAAGTTTTTTTAATTTATTTTTATTTATATATGACAGTGGAATGCTTTGCAGTTCTTATTACATATATAGAACACAATTTTTCATATCTCTGGTTGTCTACACAATATATTCACATCAATTCGTGTCTTCATACATGTACTTTGAATAATAATGGTCATCACATTCCACCATTTAACCCCATGCCTCCTCCCTTCCCCTCCCACCCCTTTGCCATATCTAGAGTTTATCTATTCCTCCCATGCTCCCCCTCCCTACCCCACTCTATATGATCAAGTTTTATAGGGAATGTCATCAAATAAGAATGTCAATATGAAAAATTAAACATATGAAAATATGCTCAGCTATTTTACCTACACAAATAGATGTAATCTGTTAAAATTTAGCTTTCCAAGTATACTCATGATTCATACAAGATCACTATGTATGTGTACAGTCATATGTAGACATGTATTTGCATGTATGTATATAAACATATACATATGTATATATATGCACACAAATTTCCCAGCTTTATGGTGAATAATCCTGCAAATAAAGCCCCTCCAATGGTGATAAGCACACCTGGCAAGTACTTTTTTTAAAAAAAAATATTTTTATAGTTGTAGTTGGACACAATACCTTTATTTTATTTATTTATTTTTAATGTGGTACTGAGGATTGAACCCAGAGCCTCACACATGCTAGGTGCTGGTCTACCAAATGGTCTACCACTGAGCCACAACCCCAGCACCCCCGCCCCCAGCAACTACATTTTAATCTTTAATGATGTTTCTCAGTAAAGAAAGTAGGGTCCCTAAGAAAATGTTCATTTCCAACAGAATATGTGCAGAATATGTGCAAGATAAGTTTGAAATATCTCTTCATGCCAGAAAGTAACAAATGATTTTATTTAAAAAATACTGGGGAACATCACAAGGACAGAGTAACCAGTTTCAATAATGAAGTAGTGAAGAACAGTAAAAGAAGCAAGGCACATTGGTACACACCTATAAACCCAGCCACTTGGGAGTCTGAGGCAGGAGGACTGTAAGTTAGAATCCAACCTCAGCAATTTAGACTTGGTCCCAAATTTAAAAAAAAAAAAAGGAAAAGGAAAAAGAAAAGGACTGGGGATGTAGTTCAGTAGACCATTTGCACAGCATATGTGAGGCCCTGAGTCCAATTCACAAAAAAGAAAAAACAGAAGAATAGTAATAAACTATAAATCATGATGAATATATGAATCAAATTAATAAATGAGAAAAAGGAAAGACTCTTGCTTTAGCACAGTTCCTACTGTGGATGGATAAGTGTTGGAAAATCATCATTTAACAATTACCATAGTAAAGAGTTGTTCAGGAAAGAAACAGATTGATGCTAAATCTATGGGAAATTTTGATTAGGAGCAAGATAATTGTATTGCTTTAAATTTCCTCTCAACATATATTCTACTAGTTATGGGACAAGGGGTAATGATAGGAGAAATTCAGTAACATTTTTCTGGTTAATCAAAATCCATATCAACAATGAGAGGCAGGTGTGATACCCTGAGAAGAGCACATCACTTGTATAGTCATCTAGTTGGTCATATAGACTAAAGCTAATCATGAGATGTCAAACTCAAAATGAAGAAATCTTATTTTAAAATAGACTACATTCTTCAAAATATTAATGTCATAAAATACAAAGAAAGGTTGTGGAAATGTTCTAGATTCAAGGAGACTAAAGGGACATGACAATTCAATACTGAACTCTAGAGTAGACCCTGTATGGAAAGAACAAGAAATGCTATAAAGGCCATTACTGGGTCAATGGACAGAATTGAAATATTGATGGTAGAAAGTATAAAAGTATTGCATTGTTGTTAAATGTACTGAATTTCATAACAGTACTGTGGATATATGAGAATAATTATTAGAAAACAAATGAAATATTTAGGGAGGAAGTCCATAATGTATAAAACTTATTCTCAATGCTCAAAAAAAATTATCTGTATATACATATGAGCAAGGGAATAGAAATAATAGAGCAAATTTGGCAAAATATTATAAATAAGTTAATCTGGGGAGAAGATAAATGGGTGTTTCTACTTTCCTTATGTTTGCAAGTTTTCTATAAGTTGAAATTTCCAAATGATTTTTTTCTTTCTTTTTTTCTTGCTTTGTTCTTTGTTTGTTTGTTTTGGTTTTGGTACTGGGGATTGAATCCAGGAGCATTTAACCATTGAGCTACAATCCCAGCCCCAAGTAAGTTTTTCTTAAAAAAAAAAAAAAAGAGGAACCTTAACTATGAGATACAGACTGTCAATAAGGGCACACTGTAAAACAAGAATACTGATTAGAGACAGCAATGACTTGAAGAAACAGAATATAACCACAGAACAAGAATGCTGATTGGATGCAAATTCACATATGAGTAGATAACATAGTTGGTACACTCAGGAAAATCCTATTTTGTGAGTATTGGGTTGGGAATAACTGAGTCCTAAGTCCAGAATGCTGTGCTCCTCCAAAACACCTAATTCTTAGAGAACAAATGAATACCAGGCAAGTAAGCCATTCATGAGCAGAATACAAGCTAGACACACACAGGAGAGAAAAGAAATGGAATTTTCCTTGATGAGCATGACCAAGTACTATGTCTGTGAGGAGCTTCCACAGGGGTGCTACACAGATGGAAGAAACTAAAGTATGGGTATTGGCCACTTATGATGAATTATCCAGGTGGGTGAAACTGAAATATACTTTCGATCTTTTAAATAATATGTAACTAGGGGCTGGGTATGTGACTCAAGTGGTAGCGTGCTCGCCTGGCATGCACAGGGTGCTGGGTTCGATCCTCGGCACCACATAAAAATAAAATAAAAAAGATGTTGAATCCACCGAAAACTAAAAAAATAAATATTAAAAAATTCTCTCTCTCTCTCTAAAAAAATATGTAACTAAACATGATTTAATTGCATCTGTCAGGCTTTTCATAGAAATCAAGTCCTGGATCAAAAAAAAAAAAAACCTTGGTTAAATCATAAGCTCAGCTCAGATATATGGTATTTAAACACCAAGTAGGAAGTGGGTATTATTTCCTTGGAATGCTATCACACAGCCTATAGACACTTAAGATCTAAAATGAATAACAAACCTCAAGGAAGACAGAAACTTTGTCCCTTTCATACATGTTGGCACCTAAATACCATCTCATAGGAAATGGGTAAGTTGAAGAAGAGAAGTCTGAGAATTTTAGTAGAGGTTTTGTGCATTCTAAGTCAACGCTCACTTATATATGCTTCACAGTCTTTCTATAGGTATATATGGGCATATTATAAGACTGGATTCTGATGCTCAAGAAGTAAGAACCTCTGGCATAATGAAAAGAAATGTATAAGAAATCCTTTAACTGACCTCTTGAAAATCTTGCTCAAACTTCCACAGTTGCAGATACTGCTCCATTTTTAATTGGTGTTTTTCCCAAAATCCATCAAAAGCTGTTTCCATGTCATGCACTTGAGCCAGCAATCTTAACAAAGAAAAATCAAAGAATTTATTAAAAAAAAACACCTGTATCACAGCTATGTCAATAAAACTGGTCTGGACATTAAGAATTATAGACAAGGTCACAGTCTGTGGTACTTGGTTAAGACAGAGACAATGTTCACAGAACTTAGTTCTGCAGGCAAACTAATTTCTGTGGGATGACCCTGGCAAGAAGTTCTCAGATTTTCAGAGCTCCAGAACTACTTTCACACATAATGGAATGTAACAAAAATGTATAATTCCTTCTTGAAAATATAAATAAGTTAACTCTGAAGTAAAAAAAAAAGTATACTTACTTATTAATAGTTTGCCAGTCACCATTTATTTGCTGATGACGTTCAATACTCGAACTGACAGCTTCTCCAGTGTCAGGCACTTCCAGATTTGTTAGAAGAATTTTTCCTTCTTTGGTTACAGCTGTAATATCATTCTGTACAAAGGCACAATGGGATATATCAGCTGATTAGTGATTCAACCTGAACAACCTGAAGGGAAGGCAATATACATTCATGGCATGTAGAATAGAAATAGCAGCTCTAGAATGGGCTTTCCTTGAACAGCTATCTGAAAAATCAAGGATATTTCAATATTACAAAATCCACAAGCTTTGAAGATCCAAGAAGCCCTTGCCTTAGAGATGGATGTTTCAATCACTATTCTATAAAATTGTTACCGGGAGAAGTACCATGTGTTCTCTTTGCTGCCTCCTTCTCTTGCTGGTAGCAAGTTCTAATCTATTCCATTCAGTTCTGGTAATATTTTAAAGTGTTCAAATAAGGCAGTATTAGCACAATAAAAACTATCAAAATAGAAAACATAGAGTTACAGATGTCAAGTGCATATTGAAAAAGAATCATGTACCTTTCTTACCAATCCTTAATTGTTAGCAATCACTTCCCACCATAAGTCTTATTTTACTTCACATTTGGGGTTAAATAACACCATGAAGTATATGTTTCTATTTAGAAGGTCTTATGATTGGAGACTGGTCTAAAAACATAGACTTTCTTCAGACATCAAAAAGTAACATAAGACTTTCTTCAGTAGTTTCAAGGGTCCCCTAAAATTGTAAGTAAAAATTTGGGCCTAAGGGGCTGAAGGTATGACTCAGTAGTAGAGCACTTACCCAGCATGTGTGAGTCCCTGGGTTCAATTCCCAGGATTAAAAAGAGAAAAAAAGTTGAATTTATAAGCATGAGCTGTGTGCCAAGCACTGCTATACATACACCACACACTTTACCTCATTCCACCTTCACACAACCATACATAAGATATGCACAATCATCATTATCAACCTCATTACACATATAAAGAAACTGAAACTCAGGAGGATAAGCAAACTGCCCAACATCACACAGTTTATAAAATACAGTTTTCTTTCCTTGGAAAAAGTTTGGCTTTTAGGTTATAGTTCAAACATTCAGTTTCTCTCCTCTTTTAACTGAAACATGCAACCTGTACACAAAGCTCAAATATGACAGTGTGCCCAGTATGCCTATTAACATAAGAAGGAAACAGTGATAATTGGATGTGTGGTATTTGTTGAGAATGTTATTAAACTTTTTGAGGAAAGAGACCCTCAAAGTACTTGCTCATTGTCAAAACTGTGCTTCAGAATCTTTCACAACCCAAACTCTATGATCAGAAATGAGTAGGAAAACTAAATTCAGTTGCCACTCTGGTTTACCAAAGAAAACATTAAGCAATTGTACTCTGTGGAGAAGAAAGCTCATAATCTACTGAGCAACATGGCCTTGGCCACAACACTAGATCATGGCAGAGATGGGAGAAGAAATCAGGCTTTCTGGCTCCTCATCAAATGCACCTTCTCCCATTTCACACTGTACCTGTAGAGGAAATTAAAACACAACACCTGTGAACTGCTGACTCTTACACTTGCTTTCCGAATGAGAAGGCTTCTCCATAATATAAAGAATATGAGATTAACAAATGACTGTAGATTTCTTATTCTGTATCATTTATAATATATTCTATTTTCAAATAAACAATTTCCCAAGACAATATACCATTTGCAGAAGGTACACTTAAAAGTTCAGCCTATCCAGAACATTCTTCTCTTGTGGAATATTATTTTTAGACTTTTAAATATAAATATACAAACATGTAACAATCAGTGTGAAATTGATGTGTCAAACATATTTCTGGAAAAAGACCATGTAAAACTTTTGCTTGTCCATTCAGACATACCTTCAATAAATGATACCTTTCGGCACGAATTGCCAGGATTTCTTCTATTGAAGGAATATCATCTGGTAGTTCTGTCTCAGCGAGTTCAGTTCCAAAGGACTGTAACATCTGAGCCATTTCTTTCACTGTGAGGGCAAAATTTTCTATAGCCTGCAAAGAGCCAGTGATTCTTTTATGGAAACTCTGCCGACATAGCAAAACCTGGACCAATAATTGCATTTATTTTTATTTGGGTATAACATCAAACATGTATGTTGGGAACTCTGGCATTACCCTTGGCAATCAATTCTAACTTTGCATCTAAGGCTCTAAGAAACTAAGAGCAAAGTTATGGTTCTTCTTGGATGTCTTTTTTCTAAATTTATGAACTTTTGTCTTAGACACTGATAAAAATTTGGGGGGGGGGAGCTAAGAATATAGTTCAGTGATAGAGTACTTGTCTGGCATGCACAAGACCCTGGGTTCAATCCCCAGCACCACCCAAAAAAAATTATTTCTTAAAGATGCCATGTACTAAATAATCCATTTTATGTCCTTAAAAATCACAGAGCTTTCCTTATTCTACAAACTCTGCAATGGGTAAAAGTGCCATAAGTTTACTGTTAAAGAGATGAGAACAGCAAAGTCACTTTATATTTGTTTATAACCATTTATGAATAGCATTAGCATTCCAAACAAGGTAATGGTCTTAGGAAAGAGGGGGGACAAGTTGTCACAATAATTCATTGCAAGTACTATTGAAGATCTGAAATGCCATATCAAAGGCTCTATTGCCCTAAAATGGCAAATAAGGTTGTGTTGTTAATTTGTTTTTGTTTTTGTTTTTTACAAAATCCATTACTTACAGAGAGATGGACAAAATGTAGAGATTACATGAACCATCTATCTACCATGCAGCTCAAGGTATTTGCTCCTTTAGTTTGGTTTTGTAGGTTATTAAAGGATAGATATTATTATCTTGACAACACACCTTCATGTGGATGAATGAATTGTTGAATGAATTATTAAATGAACTGTTGGATAAAGAAGCAGGATGAGGAAAATGAAACCCTGATTTAATGAAACATCATTATTTTCTTCAGAAAAAAATCCCATTTCTCTGGAATTTGAAGTTAACACATTTAACATGGATTCCGACCTGATTCCAACCTGGGAAGCACATAGCCTTCACTTATTCGAAAATTTCTAAAACAGAAGGACTCTGCTACAAATGTAATTGCCTCAGAAAAATCCCTAGGATGATGAGATTAATATTACTTGACTTGTTGAGGGTTTGTCATATGCTATGCACTGAGCCAATCTTTTTGCATTAGGTATATTATTTAATCTCCCCAAGACTCCTATGAGGCAAGGTATTATTATTCCCATTTTATAGCTTGGAAAACTAGGATTAAGAGAGGTTGTGTATATTGTCCAAGGTCATACAGCTAAAAATCAGCAGTGACAGAATCTGAACCCAAACCCTTTGTTTCTTCAAGTTACTACATGACCACAGGCAGGGTTTGGCAGAGTAAGATTTCCTCGTTCTCTAGACCTCTCCTTCAACTGCCAACCCTAGTGACTCTTCATTTATAGATATTGCCTATGGAAGAAAAACCAAGATGTTGAATTTTATATGTATTTGAAAAGTAGGAGCCCTGAAAAAATCTGTTTTTCTCAAATAGGAAAAAATTCTAGAACTAGATTTAAAGACTAATATGAACTATAGGCTCTACAGTAAGGGCAAAAGCAACATACATTTCTGAAGATGATCCATTCACTGTGGCAGTACTGCAAGGTGCCGCCTAACTCAGGGGTTAACTGCTTGTCATCAATGTATGCCAGCAAATCACTAACTGAGCTCAGCATAACAACCTATATAAATAAGCAAAAAAGATACTGTTAACTGTCCTTCATGACATCCCTCCATTAAATTGTAAAATGAACTTTAGCATACATTTAGCAGAAATTCATCTTCTATAAATGGTTCTAACAGTTCTCTCTTGTACATGAACCCCACACGTTTGCATTACCTTATTTAGGTAATAAGTCTTTATTTACAAAACATTTCTCTACAGCAAAATTAACCTACATAAAAACCCAAACACCTAATTCTCTTTCATCTAAAAGTTTTCATTGTAAATGGCTCAGCTTGTGAAAGAATACTACACTCACAACAAAGTAAAAGGACTGTATATTGTAAGCTATAATTTATCAGAAGGGACTGATCTTTCCAAAAGTATCAAAATTTATGAACACTGTATTCCTAACAATAAAAACATATTTTCAAAACAAAGAACGTGATACTCTGAACCAGCTCAGGATGTGAGTTAATGGGAGTTCAAATACATAAAACATACTCTTTTTTTTACTAAAAATAAAAGTTCCTGATTATGCACACACATACACACATATACACATAAACACATACATATAACATTTATTCTTCAAAGAAATTGGTTTTGTTATAAATTGCTTGATCTATTTCTTAACAGTAGAAGCAGAAGACTTGGGGCCATTTGAAATTTGCATTTTTCAAAGATTTTTTTTTATTTTAAAAGCTTTATGTAAGCACATGTTAAAACAAACAGCATGGGACAAAATCTTCATGAGAATTAAAGGGACGAAACATTTAAATAATATATTCTTACTGGTAATTTGAGCATGAAATCCTCCTGACTAAATCGAAATCCAATGTCTGTGAAAGTTCGTTGAAGAAAACTGGTAGGACGTAAAACCAAAACTAAGTGCAAGTTCCCAGGGAAAGAAGCCTGTCGAAAGAAGGAACAAAAGAATGAGACAAAATTGGCAAAACCAAGCACTTGACTGAGCACATGTCAGAAAATATGTAATTGAAGGAATAAAGTTTAAAGTAATAAAAGTCAGTAAAAGGCCAATTCTTAAAAAAATGGATGCTGATAAAAATCCAAAAACATGAAAATAGAAATAAAAATACTATAAGGTTATTAGGTCAGATCCTTAGTGTTCCTGGTATGGAATTTTCTCACAATAGATAAATAGGTCCCAAGTTTCAAAGTATTACACTCTAACACTTCATTTTTAAGTTAGTTTTGTTTTTATATTTTACTTTTTGTTTTTAACTGAAAGAAAATTCATACTCATTTATGGGGTACAATATTATAATTTGATACACATATAAAATGTGTAATGATCAAATCACAGTAATTAGCAGTTCCATCTAATATTATCATTTCTGTATGTTAGGAAGAATCAAACTACTTCCCCTTCTATAACTGTACTATGGTACTAATTATCCCACGTCCCTCTGACTTCCCTATTCCCCACTCCATTTCCTCCAATGACTTCTATACTACTCTCCTCCCATGTGATCAACTTTTTTCATTTCCAGAATTGTCTTCATACAATACTCTATGAGAACATACAGTATTTATCTTTCTGTCCTTGGCTTACTTCACTTAATATAATATCCTCCAGTTTTATCTACACTGCCAAAAAATGATAGGATTTCACGTTTTTTATGACTGGATCATATTCCACTGTGTATATATGCCACATTTTCTATATCCATTCATTCACTGATGAATACCTTAACTGATTCCACATTTTGGCTATTGTTGTTAGTGCTGTAATAAACATGGGCATACAGGTTATCTCTTTGATATAATCATTTCAAGTCATTTGGGTATATACCCAGAAGTGGGACTGCTGAGTCACATGGTAGTTCTGTTTTCAGTTTTTTGAGAAACTTTCATACCGTTTTCTATAATGGCTGTTCTAACTTAATCAAACCAAGAGTGTATAAGAGTTCCCCTTTCTCCACAGCTTTGCCACCATTTGTTATTATTGTCTTTTAGATAATAGTCATTCTAGCTAGAGTAAGACAATACCTTATTGTGGTTTTGAATGCATTTCCCTGATGATTAATTTTATTGAACATTTTTTTTCAATTTCTGTTGGCCATTTTTATATCTTCTTTTAAGACATGTCTATTCAGAGGAGTCATCAAGAATACAAGCAATAATAAATGCTAGAGAGGATGTAGAGAAAAAAGAACACTTACACTGTGAGAAGAACTGTAAATTAGTACAACCACTAATGGAAATCAGTAAAAAGATTTCTCAAAATACTAGGCATGGAACCACCATATGATCTAGCTATACCATTCCTTGGTGCATATCCCATCAAGAATTACAATCATTATTCTATAGCAATACATGCATACCCATGTTAATAGCAACACAATTCAAAATAGCCAAACTATAGAAATAGCATGGTTCACTCAACAGATGAATGCATAAAGAAAATATGGTATATATACACAATGGAGTTTTATTCAGTCATAAGAAAAATGAAAGTATGTTGTTTTCAGGAATGGAACATGAGAGCATCATGTTAAGAGAAATAAGCCAAACTCAGAAGATCAAGGATTGTATGTTTTCTTTCATATGTGGAAGCTAGAGAGGAAAAAGTAAAAGAAAGGGATATTAAAAAAAAGAAAGGGATACTTTCTTTTTTTTAAGAAAGAAAGATAAATACTGTATGTTCTCATAGAGTATTGTATGAAGTATTTCTAGAATGACTATTATCATTATACTTTTTTTAAGACAGAAAGATAAATACTGTATGTTCTCATAGAGTATTGTATGAAATATTTCTAGAATGACTATTATCTAATACATAATAATAAAAAGACAATAATAATAATGATAATAATGACTTGAGGAAGGGGAACTCTTATACCCTGTTGATGGGGATTACATTAGAACAGCCATTATAGAAAACAGTATGAAAGTTTCTCAAAAAACTGATGAAAATCAAAGGGAGATCAATAGAGTCAGGGAAAGGGACCAGGGAGAGGGAGGAAAGGGGAAATACTAGGGAATGATATTGTGCAATTTATATTGTTATATTATTTGCACCTCTGAATATGTAACAACAAATCCCATCATTATGTACATAATACACCAATTAAAAATACAGAAGATGGGAATAATGGTGGAATGAGATAGACATTATTACCCTGTATACATGTATGATTACACTACCAGTGTGACTGCACCACATTCAGACAGAGGCAGGAGAAGTTGTACTTCATATGTGTACAATGTGTCAAAATACATTCTACTGCCATGTATAAATACTTAGAACAAATAATAAATAAGTAAATAAATAAATAAAATATGGAAAAAATAGGGAGAAATGACAATAATATTACCCAATATTAATAAATCACTTGGTATTAAATGCCTACTTTATGCCAAGTATTTGTCATAATTCCTCTTCACAATAATCCTATAAAGGAGTCTCCCCCTTTTACAAACAAAATGTGGCTCAGAGAATTTAAGTATAAATTACCACAGCTGGCGAAATCTTAAATTGTACCTAGGTCTATGCTCTTAATAGGTAAACTATCCCAAGTCTTGAAGAGATCACAGTCAAAAAAGCTAGAAGAAAGTGATGCTGGGAGATACAGAAAGATAGTGTTGGAAAGGCAGCCAAGAACCATATCAAGAAAGATCTTGGAGTCTTTCCTAGAAGTAAAGGGAATCTCTAAGAGGTTTCAAGCAACAGAACAACATAATCAGATTTGCAAATTTTTAAGTTTATCATGGTATTAGGAATAGAACCCAGGGCCACAGGCAAGTGCTCTACCAGTGATCTATATCCACAACCCCATCAGACTTGCATTTTAGAAAGATTACTTTGGCTTTAGGAAAGAAGTGGATTTGGAAAGGAATAGACACAGACAGATGCACTAGGAGGGTTAGTATAGTAAAATCTAAGCCAGGAATTGTGAACCAGAACAAAAATGGCAGAAATAAGGGTAGAATTTAGGAGGTATAGCCGGGCGTGGTAGTGCATGCCTGTAAACCCAGTGGCTGGGGATGCTGAGATAGGAGGATAGTGAGTTCAAAGTCAGCATCAGCAAAAATGAAGCCCTAAGCAACTCAGTGAGACCCTGCCTCTAAATAAAATACAAAATAGGGCCAGGGATGTGGCTCAGTGGTCAAGGGCCCCTGAATTAATCCCC